GTTTCCTGAATCTAAGTTCATTAGTTAACAGCTTTTGTTTGTCGCAGCGCACCTGCACACATTCTGGTCTTCATCGTGACCTCGAAGAGTTGAAGCAAACATTTATTCCTATGTTACACGATGCAGCCACACCAAAACCTTGTAATCCAGTTTGGAACAATAATCTAAAATCATTTCTATACAATTCAATTATTTAGTAAAAATAATAAACACCAAATGATTATCATCAGCCTGGTCATGCTTAATTATCTTTCCTTTTTTATCATTAAACTGCTAAAGTCGATGTCAGAATTTACATATATTAGATAAAAATAGGATTTTCTTTATTTTCAGATGGAAAACACAAAGTCAGATTCATTATTTTGAAGTTATGATTTATATTCTTGATTATTCTTGTAGGAAACACCTTAAACACCAACATGGGACCTGTAGAGGAAGATGATTTACTGAACCCATTTGTAAAACAGAACTCGAGGCAGGAAGATGGAAGGGAATGCTTCCATCTTTCCTTTGAACATTTTCCAGGACAGCTTCTGAGCACGAGGGGCAGGCATGCACACAAACACTCACCTGGTCACACCTGAAGAACAAACAGCCTGACGCAGAAGTAAAGAGACAGAACTGCTGTAGTCGTGTTTATATCAGCAAACAGGAGGTGACGTCATGAGACGGGCTGTGGCTCGACAAATATTTTCTCCTTGGTGTAAAGTTTAAACGGATTTTCCAGGAAAAACCAGACTCAGAATCAGTAAGCTCCTGTCTGATCATGGAGTTAAGTGTGTTATTGGTTCAAAACTGTTTAAGTCATTCAAAAACCTTCAGTCTGAGCCACTGTGATGGCAAAACATACCGTAAAAGAAAGAATGTGAGGTCCTTTTACAGCAGCTATAGAGGTCTTATGGGGAAAAGTATTCATCTGCTGAAGGTCATGAAGCTGTTGAGCTTTTTTAAATCACAACAAGGTGGATGACTAACCACAGCTGTAAGGATAAATCCTCTCCAAACCTTCACTTTGTGTTTGTACCTCAGGCGCTGCTTAGAAGAAGTAGAATAAAGCTGCAGGTGTGTGACCAAGGAGCAGTTTCACGTGTGTGTGTGTGTTGTAGGTGGGGTTGACTCAATTAAATTTTTTTCAACCTCAGATAAAACTGCAGCTACCTGATTTAACTAAATAATGAATGATCAGCAACCAAATCATGACAATTTTAAAGATGTGTCCCATTGCCACTATTTGCAGTTTCAAAGAAACGAACAAACACACACACACACACCCTTATAACCCAAACAGAGTCGGCTCGTTGAGAATGAACGACACTCTCCAGGTGAGTGGCTTTTGTGTAATGAGCAGGTAAAGTAACAAACACATCAGCATGAGTCACGCCAGGGTGAAACTTCATGTGCAGGAAACCAAACTCAGGACAGATCTGAGGTTTTACTATAAACTAGCTCACGTTAATGAAGCTCTGCGTTTTACGGACAGACGTAGAGTTTGGTGTTTTTCTCTGATCCTCTCCTCCTGAGGGCAGCAGATCGTTAAAGCACATTCAGATCAGGTTCAATCTAAAGTTTTATGAATCAGGGCTGACCTCGTTGAAGATGGCCAGATTGGTGCACTGCAGAGCTCTGGTTTTATGAGTGAAACCTGGGAGACAAAGATACTGGTTACCATAGTAACAGGGGTTCTCATCCAAGTGGTAAAACCTTTAGTTTTTTTTTTTACATAAATGATAAACGCTTTACAATCCAAGTTTTCTCTTCATTTGCAGGCTTGAGAACAACTTATTTGTTCTTTGTGGCAAAAAAACAAACAAACAGGAAACATCTGAATTTAAGAAACTCCCCTAATCAACATCCTGCAATCTGAAAAATAGTTTCTCTTGTTGCCTAAGCACACCCAGAGATTAAGTAACATTAAAAACCTTAATAATTCTAGTTTAATGGTAAATCGTCTGCTTTTTTCCACACACAGGTGTTTGTACAGGTTACCTCTGAAGGAGAGCTCGACTTTTCTGTCCGATCGGCCCGGGAGGTTGGAGATCCTCTTCAGATCCACGCTGATGGACATGGCAGCAGACACCGTTGTGGTCAGCTGCTGGTTTTAATGGCCTTGTCTGGACGTGCTTCTGAGCAGAGCGTTTCTCTGTGACTGGCCCTACACGTAGGCTGGTTAAAGCGTGCCGTTGGGCAGGTCTTTCTAATGTTTGATAAAGCAAATAGTTGCTCAACTAGCTCCTCCTGAAACAGACGGCCCGAGAGGAAACCGCAAAAAGCCATTTTTAAACATTTATTCTGAAGTTTTTCCGGTTAAATAATAAAGAATGAGTCTGTTTAAGGTCATATATGTACATATGCAGTTTGTATTTTGAGCTTTTTAAACATGTTAATTTAAGACTCGTCAAAACATTTTGCCCACATTTTAATTATGCCCAACTCTAGAGTTCGAACAAAACATCTAATTTAAAGCTTTTTAATGATGAAATAAACAAGGGAAATACCATTCCAGGAACAGGTCAACCTAATTACATCAACATTCTTCATATCCGTCGATCTGGCAGAGACAAAATACTAAAAAGTATAAAAACATTGTGGGTTTGGTACAGTTGTCTGATTTTTGCAGTACAGATACTTATTGATGCTACAGAAACCAGGTTTATCATCATTTCTACATGTTTATCAGATTTGTGCTGGTCTGTGAAGAAGTGGATAAAACAGACATGAAGCAGAAACAGAAAAGATGTTTTGTTGACCTTTTATTTCAGACATGTTCATATGAGAATTCAGCATCAATCTTACATCTCACCTGGTCTCTGAGACCCAATGGGTTGTTTAACTTACATTATGAGGCATTCAGAGGTAAACAAGCAGTATGGGAATTTTCATGATTCATTTATACTTCAAAATGGCATTTATGAACTGAAAAATGTGTAAAATCAGTCGAAAACAAACAAAACAAACTGATATCCTTTGAGGAGTTTAACAAGCAGCCGGAAAAATAAACTAAAATGATGCAGAAACATCTTAAAAACAGTCTCAGTCGACTTACGGTTTTAACAGGCATCATTAGTTCAAATGTGTATTTTTTTTTTTGATGGTGATTTTCAATATAATCCTTCCCAAATGTTTTACTTTGGCAAATAAGACAATTAAAAATCCCAAAACGATATAAAAATAGACTAAAGAAAAGGGTTTGGTGATCTGGTTTAAAAAGGATAAAGAAAATGTTCATTATCTTCTATAAAAATAACTAAATTTTCACGTTACCATGTACCCACCAACTCCTTGTTTTGCTGCAGTAAAGGCACAGAAACAAAATAATTAGAACATAAATGATTAAAGGTCATTCTGTGTGAAGATGGTTTAGATAATCAGTCAAAATGGAACAAAAGCTTCACGGTTTCTCTCAATTATTCAAAAACAAACTTTGATGAGTTTACCGGCCTCCAGCATGAATACAGAAAACGTTGACAGGTTTTTAGTCACTGTGGCAGAAAAAAGGCAAAGAAAATGAAGGCACAGTCGGGAAATACTAAATAGAATCTGTCTAAAATCATGATTAGGTTTTTAAAAAATGTATATACAAACAATGTATTTGGCTCCATATTTAGTTTAATCAATAAAGATATCTTGTTTCAAATGAGCTCCAGTAACACTTTCAGTGTTATGCTATGTGTGTATAATCTAACCTGCACGTGTACCTGTGAGCAATAATCTAAAGTAAGGCAAGGGCGATTCATTCATCATTGCTTTGTAGCATTTTATGCAAAGTATTGGCACTTAAAAAAATATATTTCAAAACCACATGCAGAAAAGTGCAAAGTATTGCCATGGCAACAAAGAGGCAAGAAAGCTACTTAGTGGTGTTCATCCATTCACAGTTCCTGTAACGTCCACCAGAGAGCAGCGTTGTGCCACAGTACTGAGATGGTGTGTGTGTGTGTGTGTGTGTGTGTGTGTGTGTGTGTGTGTGTGTGTGTGTGTGTGTGTGTGTGTGTGTGGTGGGGACTTTGCATTTACTAAACACATCCTAACAAACATGTGTCATCTGCATAGTTAATCTGAAAGCAGCAAAGGTTCTAATATAAATATAACAACTGTGATTCAATATAAGGAAAATAGCGATGATAAACCCAAAGCTGTCTGTGGCATTAAGATTGGCTAAAAGAGATACATGCTGTTCTCTGATTGGCTGAAGCATAATGCTGACTGGCTGATAATGTGAGTCGTGGCCGAGCGCCGGACCATGATCTGGAATGAGATGTACCTATGTGCATGGAGCAGCTACAGGTGGGCCTGGAGAATGTGGGGCTGAGATTAACGTGGGCGGGGCTGGGTGGTGTTCAGGGTTTAGAAGCTGCTTGGTTCACAGGTCCGAGGCCTCTCATCTTGAAGTAAGACACCAGCTGTTTGGGGACCTCAGCGAGGACAGACTGAGCCAGAGCCGTCTTGGGAGCCTGGACATAAATATAAATTAAAGTTTATGTACATCAAACCTGCTTTTGAATTATAACCTAATCATTAAGATGCTTCTGTATGAACTCAAACAAGCTATCGTGCGTCTGTTCTCCTTTTAACACTAATTATATTTAAACTAGAGGCCAACCGATATATTCAATTTTTTCTGTCTAAACGATTTTAAAAAGCTGATAATTTTTTTTTTTTAAATCAGGCATCTGTGTGGACGAGTGCCGCCACTCCTAAACTGGAAAGGACCCGAAAGACCCCAACACACAATTTTTTTATGTTTCAATTTGTTTTATATTTGAAGTTCAATAAATATTAAGAGATTTATTGACTTATTTAATGTATTTTGCACACAGTGAGCATTCACTTGTCTTTCACAATCAATGTGCTGCTAAAACGTATAAATATCAGCCTAAATCGGCTTTAGATATCGGCCGTCCGCAACAAAATTCTTTAAAAATCTGTATCAGCCTTAAAAAATACATATCTGTCGGCCTCTAATTCAAACCCTGTCTTTTAAAGCAAACCATCATCTGGTGAAGGCTGCTTTACAAATATCCATCCCTCAAACGTTTTTGAATCAGTCATCAGACTAGAAGAACGCTAAACCTCCAGTTTTCTACTCTTATTGTTAAAGATTCAGATAAAACGTCAGGATTTTTCATCTCCAAGTCCAAACTGCTCTGGGGTCTCAGATAAGCCACTTACATCTTTGAAATCTCTGAATGGGACAAATTGAACGATGTCTCTAGAGATAGCTTCTCCCACAGTGGACCTGAGGACACCATCGTCTCCATCCAAAAGCTCCATGGCCTTAAAATCGGCTGGACCCACTCCCACGATAATGATGGACAAAGGCAGCCGGGAGGCCCGAACCACGGCATCCCTGGTCTGGTCAAAGTCGGTGATCTCCCCATCAGTGAGGATGAGGAGGACAAAGTATTGCTGCAAAAACAAAATAAGATCTAAATGTTAAGCTCTTTGTAGATGTACTTATGCTCTAGTGTTTGTTTGTGTCCTCACAGAGGCGGTGTTCGCCTGAGCAGCAGTGGAGGCAATGGAAGCAACGTGATTAATGATGGGGGAGAAGTTTGTGGGTCCAGAAAGTCTGATCTGAGGCAAAACCCTCCTGTAGGCGTCTACAATCCCCTCGATACCTGTCAGACACAACGTGTTTGTTGTTGTTAAAATAACTGGGATCAATTTGGAAACAGGAAGAACAGGAAGTGAAATTACTGTTCTGTCATTTTTCATTTTTGAGCAAAATCTGGTTAAATCTTTAAAAACTGCATATATCTGTGTGTGTGTGTGTGTGTGTGTGTGTGTGTGTGTGTGTGTGTGTGTCTACCTTGGCAGAAGGGATTAGCAGGATTGAAGTTGAGGGCGAACTCGTGATGCGCTGCCTACGAAACCAAACATTTCAAAAAGCATTAAAAAACAATTGAATGACTAATAAAACAAACTGACTGCACAGTAATTAAAAACTAAATAACAATACTACATTTATTAACCACATTAATAAAATCAACTAAACAAACAACTAAAAAAGGTTTTATTTTACAGCAAGGGTGTCGAACTCAAATTCGATCTGGGCAAAGTGAAAGATTGGGACAAAGTCGCGGGCCAAAGTCAATACTTATTGAAAAAAATGATGGAAAATGTGCACATCTACAGTTATGCATTTTTGAAACTTTTCATTTGGAAACAAACTTATTTTCGCAGTGACACTGAATCTGGAATAACCAAATTGCACATGAGAAACTACATTTGAACTAAAACTGAAGTTCAATCAGCTCCGTCTGGAGGTTGCTGGTGTGCGTCTCACATAAGCTGCAAACACATTACTGAGCAGTTGGAGTCTCCGGTCAATGTCGGCGAGTTAACTCAGTGCTGCTGCAGCTACAGACACTGGTAGCACCGGCACTAATGACTAAACAGGAAAGGAGGGGGTGTTTCCCCCGCAAAGCACTATGGGGTTTATAGTCTGTGCAGGATATGGGCCGGCGGGCCAGTTCTCATACCTATGTGATACATGACCTGAGCTTGACACTTGTTTTACAGTGTCTGACGTGTTGGTTAAACTAACCTGAAAGTCTGGAGGCAGTTTGGCTCCAAAACCAAAAGCTGGAAAAAGTTTATCACTGAAACACAAAAACACAAAAACAGCAGCTAAAATGTAGCTCATATGCTGGGAGCTTTAATTCAATTAAAACAGCAGATATGCAAACTGTGGAACTGTGTTTTATATGGACAGCAGGTCAGTTACTGCCACCTACTGGGAACCAGTGGAGCCTTTTTACAAAAAGAAAAAGGTTTGTTTAGAGCGGATGCTACATTGAACGAGCGGTACACAGAGTTAATGTTTTGGTTCGTATTTACCTGTCATAGTCCTGAATCACCTGACCCACGGACCAAAGAGCAGACAGGTACTGGTTCAGTCCATCTGGACTCATGTAGTGGAGAGAGTTGGGCGAGCGAGGATCGCCATTTGAGCCAGTGAAGTCAATGCCAACCTGATGGGTTCAAACGTGGTTAATTCATCAACATTTTTCACTTTTAACTAAAATGGATTGGTCACTCAGACGTATCCTATTTCCCATCTACAGACTTAGATCACATAAATACTACTGGTGAAAAAGTTGTGGGATAATTAACGTGAACATACGGTAAAGTTGACCTGGCAGCCGCCCATCACAAAGTCCAGGAAGCTGTAGTCAGCCACCAGCTGCACACAAACACAAGGAATCAAACAGAATCTTTAAGAGTAAATTATCATGAAGCGTGAGGTGTTTTATAGCTGATTTTTAAATATCCTGCCAAACAAAACGTCTGCAGAATTACAAGTTTTTATCAAAGCTACAGGTGTCCTTTAGCAAAAACAGTCAAAGTTTAAAAACATGTTAAAAGACTGATTTTCACACAGAAACTCCGTGCTTCAGTCGTCCTCACCTTGCAGCTTTTAACATAAACAACCCCAGAGTTCTTGTATCCTTTCTTCTTCTTCAGTTTTTCAGGATGGACGCAGTCAAACTCCACCTG